TTAAAACCCATCTGCAATTTATTTGCCCAACTCAACAAATGATCTCAATCCTTTTGTAAATCAGCAGCATCCTCTTCACAGCTAGCAACACTCAAGACCTTAATATCATCTGCACATTTGAGTAATTTATTGACTATTCCTTCATCTATGTCATTAATGTCAATCAGAAAGAGCAAAGGTCCTAAGACTGAGCCCTAAGGTACCCCACTTGTGACAATAATCCAGTTTGACTGAACTCCATTTGTAAGAACCCTCTGCTTTCTTCCATCCACCTACTCTTCTTTACAATTTGCTAACTTACCCTCGCACCTATAGAGCTAATTTTTTTTTTTACATGCCTTTTATGTGGCACCTTGTCAAATGCTTTCTGAAAATCCAGATACAACAAATCTACATCCTTACCTTCATCTACATAAGCAGTAACCTTTTCAAAGAATGTTAAAAGATTTGTAAGACAAAATTTTCCCTTAGTAAAACCATGTTGACTATCCAATAAAATTCTAAACTTGGTTAAATGACTTTTCAAAGTATCTTTTAACAGACTTTCCAAAATTTTCCCCACAACTGATGTAAGACTAATAGGTCTATAATTACTGGGACAATGTTTATCACCTCCCTTGAAAAGAGGAGTTACATTAGCTAACTTCCAATTCTCTGGTACCTTCCCACTATTCAAAGACTGACAAAAATAGTAGCAAGTGGCTCACATATTCAATCTTTAACTTCTTTCAAAACCCTTGGGGAAATATTATCTGGCCCAGGAGCCTTATCAATTTTAAAACTTCCCAATTTTTTCTTAACCAGCTCAGAATTAATGCAGTCATCTTGTTTGATCTCGTTTCCATTTATCAACTGATCAAAATGTGGAATACTGCTTAAATCTTCATTAGTTAAAACCAAAGAAAAAAGTCAAATTTAATAACCCAGCTATCTCGTAATCATCAGATATCAGCCTTCCTTTATCATCCCTCAAGGGTCCTATCCCAATCCTAACACTTTGTTCCCCTTAATGTATTTAAAGAAATCCTTACTGTTAAAATTTTACATTTTCAGCCAACTTTTTCTCATACATCCTTTTTGGTGTCCTAATTTTTTGTTTCACCAACTTTCTTGATCTTATATAATCTTCTAAGTCTCCTGTCATACCGGACAATTTAAATTTCTTAAATTTATGATGCTTTTCTTTAATTTTATTTCTTAAACTCTTTGTGAGCCAACCTGGTTTTTTACTTGTAGCTACCCTTTTCTTTCTATTAGGAATATGTTTACATTGAATATTTAAAATTTGTCCACATCTGATAAGCGTTTCCAAATAACTCAGCTGCACAATTCACAACAGATAAGCCTTGTTACATCCTTCAAAATTTGCTTTTTTGAAATTTGTAACCAAAATATCATTATTCCTTATCTCCATAGGCTTATTATTAACTTCAAATACAGAAATGATCGAGAGGGTGGAAATTGGGGAACATCTGGATGCAAGTGATCATTGCTCTATTAGGTTCGATGTTTTGCTCCGTTACAGAAATGATTGAGAAGGTGGAAATTGGGGAACATCTGGGTAGAGTAGGGGCTGGCTTGTTTACTAAGGCAAATGTAAGTTTTAAGCTATAACTAGACAGTGGTGAGGGCCAGGAAAAACTAAATGCAAAAGGAATAGGAGGCAGAGAAAAGTTTAGCATAGGAAATGAGCAAAGAAGTAGTTATAAGTATAGGCTTAATTATTACTAATGTAATGCTACAAGTATAAGAAATATAATAGATGACTTTAGAGCACTGGTAGGACTGGAGGATTTTGATATAATGGGAATAACTGAAACATGGTTAAACGTAGATGATTTTGAAATGCAGGGTTACATGCTATTTAATAGGGATAGAGTATTACAGAGGGGGAGGAGTGGCTTTATATGTAAAATGTGAGTTACATCCTGTTGAAGTTGAGGATATCAAAGATAATAGCAAATTGATTGAATCCATTTGGGTTTCTATTGGTGGATATAAATGGAAAAAGGCTTTTAGTGGGAATTTGTTACAGCCAACCAAATGATACTGATGAAATTAATGAGAAACTTTACAATGAGATTAAGATTTCAGCTGTTAACGAAGTCATAATTATGGGTGATTTTAATTTCAAGTGTATGGATTGGAAAACTGTTCAGGATGGCTTTCTTTACTAGTTAGTCAAGGAACCAACTATAAACAATGCTATTTTAGACTTATTGTTAACTTCAAATTTAAATGTAAACCATCCATTCCAAAAAGCTCCCTTCTTCCACTGAACTGATCCCACAAGTCCAACCATCCAATCTGCTCATCTTAAAATTATAAGCATCTGGATGTTATTTTAAATCAATACTTTAATGATAAGATCATTTGTCTTACAAATATTCAAATTTTATTTTTCATACATCTTTCATATCATAACTCAAAGTGAAATGGATACAAATAATACTAGACTTGACTTTTAGTATGTCTGTCTATAAAATACATGCTGATATGGTTGTGTTTGATGCAGTGCAAAAACACTGAGGTTGTATAATTATGCTGGATTTATATCCTTATATTTGCATTGTGTTTTGAAGTTGAAAGCCATCTTTTGTTCTCCAAGGTAGCAAAGTTGTTAGGGTGAATTTCATAAAATAAATTGAATAGTTTCATGCTGATTTTTTGTGGTGAAGTTAGGAGTTATGTTACATGTATGAAGTTTCTACTACATGTAAACTGGTAAAAGTTACAGGTACAATTCAAAAGTTAGTATATGTGTGTATATATTTTATTTTGATAAGATTTTCTAGAAGCACTAATGCAAAGTTTTTACTTTTTATGATTGATATTCTTTTTTATTTGTTTTCTGAAATAAATACAACCAGAAGAAATTCACTTATAACATAAATTTGAACTTGTTTCAGTAGTTTAAAGTACCTTACATGTACTAATACTAAATACCAGTGTGGACCGATATGGTTGGGTTATCATCAGCTCTCAATTAGTCAAATAAATCTTAATCTGTGCACCCCTATTTACTTCTAGTTCAATGACTGGCCAGATAACCAATAACATAATAAGGTATGCGAGTTAAAGCAAATGACTGAATTCTAGAAATATTGAATAATATTGTATATAAAATTTCTAAATTGAAATGGTGATACTATTTCCTGAGACTGAATGTTAAAAGCTATGAACACTATTCAATACATACTTCCTGTATGGAAAGGGTTATACTCTTTTCAATAAAAGAAATTTAAGATCACTAAATCATATTATGCATGTAATTTTTATACTGAAATGTGGTATCTGTGTTTTTTATTTAAAGCAAAGCTATTAAAGCTACATGCTGCCATCCCTAATTTTGAACTACTAATAAGAGGGAATCTAGCTAGTAATCTGCACTGTACCATTCATGCTAAATGTGTGTGGAATATATATTGTGGTATCTAATGGATTCAAACCTGGTTCACCAGTTTCAAAATCCAGAGCTCTACCACAGGGCCTGCATCCCTACTCTGTAAAGGTTATACTGTTTCAAGTAAATTTTATCAAGGAATTATAGAAGATATATGAATGGAAATTCCTTTTTTTAAATTTTATTTTCATAGAAACTTTCTTGTCTTGTACTGAAATGTAATTAACACTATTCTTAACAAACTCACCTTATCCCTAGAACTTTAATACTAATATTACAGATTGAAAGTTTTAATTTATAATGTTATAAACCTTCTGTAAAACTAATATTTCAGTAGAGATGACTTACCAGTGAACATACCACTGATCCATCTCAGGGTATGTCTTTAAATTGTGTAAAAATGTTTGTGGTGCACGAAACCTCAAATTTGTTTCAAACACACAGCCACCCAAACTATTCAGTCGAGAATCATCCAGGTAACCCTGAAGTGAGGAGAAAAGTACAATAACTTTAAAAATCACACATTAAAAAAAAACACTTAAATACAATTTTTATCCTGCACTTTCTTCTGACATTTTCTGCAACAATGACGGTGAAACACATTGCCATAGGAAGCATTTTTGGAGTGATCAGGCCACTGCCACATTGCCATTTGTGTGTGTGTGGGGGGGGGGGGATAGTGTTTGAAAATTTAATGCTATGACATTGAATCTAGAGCCGTGCACAGTTCTCCCTTTGAGCACTTTGTTTATACCAAAAGGCTTGGCATTTGAGCTAAAAATTTTCCTGCTGTGGCACAATGTATTAGATATCCGTTCTGTGAAGAGACGAGCAGAATTTCTGAAAATTAATTTACTAGCTTATTAATTATCTAATAGAAATCATTATTTAGGTCAAAGGAGAAATAAAGTTTATTAGTCAACTTTTTAAGGAACAGGGAATTTGTAATAATATATGAAGCAAACATTTAATTTTTATACATTTTATAAGACATATAATGTTCTTCCTTTGATGTTAGTTTCATTATCAGTATTGGTTAAATATTTTTGTTTATTTTCTGCTATTTTTCATTATTTATTATATACAGTTTTCATTATGAGAATTATTTTGAATTGTTAGCTTAGTATATGGATTTAAAACTAAACTAAATTGCCTTAGTTGGCCAAACATCTTGATATATTATTGGAATTATGACTGAAAGTATTGAAATCAGTGAGGGTATGTAAATGATGATTTAATGCATTCTAATCATTATACATTTTTTGTTTTAGGACATATTCCTAGTTAGACTGGTATATTAGATAGTCTACATTATTTACTGGATTAATGTTTAGTTTTGATTTGTGTAGGTAGTCTACTTTGAACAGAAGTTATTGATATTGTACCTACTAGATTACTTACCTCACTTAAGTTAGCAATGCTAAATGATTCCTCCATGATTGGCCAGTTATTGGTTGCTTCCATTACAATTAATGGTATATTATTTTTCAAAAAATGCTCAGTCATTTCATCCTGTGATGTTTGATTAAATCTCTTGATTTCTAGTACATCTTTACATACCTGAAAAAATGTTAATTTTATTCCAAACCAAAAATGTTTAAGCAGATTATCAGTTTATCCTAGTGTTAGATCAAAGAAATAAATGTATAATACATGTATTAGTTGGTATAATTAACTAAATAGGTATATTGTTAGATTTTTTAACAAACAACCTTACATCTATAGAGGACTGGCTGAAAGCATCCTTCAAATTTACCTTTTTGTAGTTGTTATTTGACAATGTACTGTACAATCACGTGAAATAACTTTTTTTTGTATTAGATCATGTTATAATCTACACAAACAGTTATATTATAAATAATTAACTGTGGTTTTCTTTAATTAGTCTTTAAGAAGAATTTCAGTAAAGATCTGGTATATCATGTATATATGTATAAGTGCTGATAATAAACCACATTCTGAAAGACTGTATGATATTTTTATTTCCATATATTTACTAAGATAAAATTTCTTTGTGCTTTATTACAGAGAGAGTAAATCTAAAGCAATATCAAAATAACAAACTAGCAGTAGAAGTATGAGATTAGGATACTGAAATGCACTGTAAAGGCACTTAACATATTTACTTTCTTTCATAATTCAAACAAATATTTAAAACACAAAAATAAATTATGTTACCTGACAGTCACTCTCTGTAATCCTATTTATTGAAAATAAAGGATTATCAACAAGGCAAGATGAATAATAAATTTTTGTCCAGTCCCAAAATGGAAGAAGCTGTCAACAAATAAAAGTACCTTTGAAACTTTTTTTCTAAAAAAATGCACAATAGGAATAAAAAATATTATATAGATTCTAAAATTAAATAAAAAGAATGTTTTTGAATAACACTAAAATATATTTTCCTTGATAAAAACTGGAATTACTAAGCCATAAAACATATAACTGCACTTATTATTTCTATACAGATAAGAATAATAATATTACTATAGTTTTTATCTTTCTTTGTTGGGCAAATACATATTTATTGCATTGATCTCTCTTAAAATCCAACACCAAGACTACAATAAGTCCTACACTACTTCATTTGTTCTAATATAAACAACAATTGTTAGGTCCATAATGTTACTTATGCAGTTCTTCTTCAAGATCCAGCATTCAAGTTTGATCCTAATATATATATATATATATACTTCCACTTCTTTCAGAGTTAAAAGCAGACAGGACTTAAAATTCAAAGTGTGTGAGCAATAAAAACTTTTTACATTTTTGCTGTAACAGTATGCAAAATTGACAAGACTGGTGGTCAAATTCTTGCCTCTTCTGTTCATATTGATGTTATATAACATATAATTTTAAGATAAAAATATGTTTTTCAATTCAGGTGAAATATGCAAAATTAGAAAGTTTGGTGGTGAATTCTTGCCTCTTCTGGTCATGTTAGTGTTGTACAACACGTTTAAGGCAAAAAACATGCTTTTCAGTGCATGTCAAATATACAGATTTGGTGTTCAAATTACTACCTCCTCTGGTCATATTATACAACATATATGTTTAAGACAAAGAAAGTGCTTTCGAATTCATGTTAAAATATACAAAATTAGCATGTGTGTGGCAAAATTATTTCTTACTCTTGTCATGTTTTATAACACACCTGCTTATTAACTAATGCAAAGAATTTACTTTTCAATTCATATAAGATATTCTGTGTAGTAGCATAGTTCATACAGTGGACAACACTCGTATGTTGAGACAATGCTCTACACAAGAGCAGCAATGAAACATATTGAAACTTCTTGTTTAAAGCTTTGCAAGCTACTTACATTAAGCTAATAGTCAAGGACTCTCATGGAGCTACATCTGTGAAACTTTCAAAACAAGCCAATCAAAACACACTGATATCAATAAATGAAGTATGTGATACTTCAATATCAGTTTGGAGTCAAATTTACATTACAATGATCACAATTTTTAGATGATAACAGAAGAAAGCAGTGTTTGTAGAAGAACTTGTATTAGTATCAAGCCAAAACATATTTAATTAAACAAAAGAAATTTAGCTGTTACTGTAATTTTCACTGGTGTTTTTTCTTAATATAAAATTCAAAACAGATAGAATATAATACAGTAAACAAAACAATACATACAGGCATGTATTAGTTAGTCATACGAAAGCAAGCATTGTGCCAAATTTAACATGTAATTATATTCTTCAAATTTATCCCCAGATTGCATCTTGTGTACTGAACAATACAATCATATTCATACTATTAGTTGTGTAACATTCCCAAATTAAATGTACATAACATCTGCAATATATTAATTTTTTTCATTGCTATGTAATATTCTTCTGATTTATTTTATTTTAAATAGTTGTTAGTGTCAATTTTAGCCATTAGTGGGTGCTTTTGTTATACAAGTAGGAGTTTGTTAATAAAATCTTTCTCTTTGTTTGCTGAACACAGTGTCACACACATATTACTTGAAGCTGACTACACCACAATATAATAATTTTTTTTTGCTTTGGCTAGCTAAAATTCTTCTTTCGCTGAAAATGCAAATCTTTCCCAAATTGTGGACCAGGGAAAGAGATTTACTCTTAGCCATAAAATTTATTTCAAATGTTTTTTGAAATAACACATGATTTAAGCATAAAATGAAAATATACTTCGTGTTTTTATATTTCCCTCAAAACTTAGTGTAATGCAAGCTAATATAAAATGTATAAATCTATAAAGCAACTGAATGAATTGCAAAATATATGTACAAATGGAAAGTTCCATCAGAACTCTCATAAAATGCAAAATGTGGTTTAATTTCATCATTCAAGAAACCAAGTAACTAAGTTTTCATACTACAGTTTCAGAACATAATAATATCCATTGTGTGCCAAAATGTGCATATTTAGAGAACAACATTTTTTTCTATCAACTTGGTTAGGAGAAAAATATTAGCTAGCTTATTGGAAAGATAAATTGCAAGTTTACCAACATAAGTTCTTATATATGTATTAATTATATTTTTATAACATCATGGCAAAATCTAGCCTTCAAATTAATCTTTGTATTTTTCTAATTTACCTAATTAAGAGGCACGATTTTTTCTTTCAGATTTTTTCTAGGAGAAAGGATTTAATTTGGTGACTGATGTGGTATGGGTATTTAAGTGCCAAAGGTGCAGTATATGTATAAACATGATCTGGTTGTATTCCCCAATAATTTTTATAAATATGTCTAACGTGGTACAGTTTTATGGGTACCAAGGTTTTTCACACCAAAAGTCATCACCTAGAAATAAAACACTGAAATTTGCATGAACTCTATGGAAGATGAAAGTAGGACTGAGGTTTGGAGAAGGGGAAGCTACCCCACTGTCCTATAGAAAAGAAATCCTTGAAGAACTTCCTCCTAAACTACACCCCATCCATAAAATTAGGATGCTTTAAATGTCAGATATTGTTTAAGGTAGTGTTAATAAAGCACAGTAAGTATATAGAAATTTTAAAGAGAGTCAAGATGGATGTCAAAACAGTAAAAGGTCCTCTATGATACCAATGATTCAAAAGCAGATCAATAAGTTTTGAGAATGTAGTAGTGCACTGTAAAAACTATATAAACAAATAACTTGCATCTTAAAAAAACAAGTAAAAACATTTCAAACTCAATGTAAGCATAATTTATTACAAGCAATGTTATCATGTTCAGAAAGTTAAATAATAAAATACAAGCACACTTGAATTACTTCCTTTTCCAACAGATTGTAATCTGAATGACAACTATTATAAGCTCAGGGTAATGAAACAGTAATTCTTTCACTAAAGTAATAATGAGGAGTGTTGAACTACAATAAGAGTAGTTGGACTAAAATTGATCTTTTACATCAGATTTTACAGTGGTATTTTATATATTTATTGATTATAATAAAATCCTGAGAACAGTCATTTTTGCTGGGAATGTTTCTCTTATTCAAAAAAATTCCTGACAGTCTTAGTGAATGAACTGGTATATAAAAGATGAGTTTTAATATTGAAAAATTTAAAGTTTGCATTTGGAATACAGAAATTTGTATGAGCTGAGTACTGGTGTTATAAAGAAAGAGAAGGACTTGCATGTTATTTTTGATATGTACTTATACTCTTTGTTGAATATTTAGCTGTGGTGAAAAGTACCAACAGAAATCATTGTTTTATTTACAGGAATTTTTAATTTAAAAACATAAAGCATTTTTGAGGTTTCATTTGGAGTACTGTGTGTAGTTTGATCTTCTTACTACAGGAAAAATATCAACCTATTGGAAAGTGCTGAAAATATTCTTAGTTTAAGTTTTAAGGAAATATTAACAGTTTACAGCATAATTTCTCTAGAATGCAGAAGAAATCAACAGAAACTTGCTTCATACTCAAAATTGTCAGGGGTTTAGATAGTCTTCATATAGGTTTTATGTTTGAATAGTGAAATAAAAGGGCAATAGTAACTTGAATATGATGGTAATAGGTTTAAGCTTGGGAAGCTTAAATAAGAATTTGTTATTGGACAAATGTATTTTTCTGTTAGATATAAGCTCATGGATTAATTGACCAATGATATTTGTTGTGGTATTACTTTGAATTGTTTATAAATCTTCTTACACAGGTATAAAGTTGTGAAGACTTTTTTTTATTAAAGTTTACTTAAAATATTAAATGTAAGCAAAAAATAGTATATATATATATATATAGTTTTAATGAGTGATCTCAATCAACCAAATGGCCTTTTGCTACCATGCTTTTTAATTTTTTGCATACAATAATTAAAAATTGCTTGATTCATACATTAAAAATTATTATGAGGTTTCAGTTTTTCTTTCATGTGTTTTTTAATTGTGGAATGAAACACAAACATGAATAGTATATGTAATAAGTTAAAACTTCTGTTTAGGATTAAAACTTATGGAATATTTTGCTCAATGAGTTGTACACCATTAACTTGAATTGTACATTTCTAATATCAATACAAATGTGAGGGGCTGGTTGTTTGTTTTTATGGGTGAGGGGCAAATTTAATGGGCTGGCTTTCTAATATTTTGCTTTTTTTCATGTTCTATATTTTATGCTGCATAATGCTAAAGATAATAGAAAATGATCCTTTTTAAATTAGTAAGTGTAATGAATATTGCAGTAAGAGTAGAAAATTTCCAGTTATCATTATGATGCATCATACTAGCTCATCTACATATTATCTTTTATTACTAATAATATTAGTGAATAAAGATTTGTATAAAAATGGTGTTATATTTAGTCTTACATATATTCTTTTATTCATATATAATAATAATATATGCTCATTCATGGTTACATACTGATAAGTATTATTTAGCTCCAATTTGTGCTTTTTGAAAAAAACACTTAAGTATTGTTCAAAAGTCAAATTGCAAGAGCTATATCACTTTATCTTTTATCGAGTTTTAACAATAATATTCAAATATAAACACCAAACCTAACTTGCACTAGAGCAAATCAGTTACTTAGTTATTTATAAAATATTATGCTGCATAAGTTTCTTACTTGTCACCTACCTGAAAAACTGAAATTTAAGACTTACACTTTATTGTAAAGCAATTGACACACAGCTTAAGAAAAGAAAAAAAAATTTTGAGTGGGTTAGTTGCTAATATTAATGAAGCATTATAATTTTGATAGCTACTATAACTTCATAAAAAGTTGTAAATATGCAGTTAAGTAGCTACCTGAAACAAAAACAATCGACCATACATGCAGAGTCTTCGATAAACTGGGTCAACAGAAAGCAAGGTATAAATGACAGTTAAAACAAAGGCAATTTTAATAAGGGAAACAATGCGTTTCTTAAACTTTTCTCTACGAAGTGGTTCCAAAATGGGCTTTGCAGCTTTTCGGATTTCTTCATTTGAATATCCGCTTTTGAGACAAAATTCATATGCTGCCTGAATCTCTTGATTGATCTCTTGAAGGTATTTTTCCTTCTTGTGATTGGTTCCCTTTATTGCTGACATTGTTAACAATAACAACCCTTACATCAACTTGTTCAACTACGTGCAAACATTACCAGAACCACTTCTTTTAAAAATAAATAGTTGGTAACGCGAAGACCATGCTTAGACTTTGGTCAGCTGTGTATGGAGAGTTGTAACATGGGTGGTTTCGGAAATTGTAGGTCATATGGTACACAAGAAGTATTTGGAGGCCAGATGTTTATAGCCTAGATGCCACTTGCCGTACGTAAAGAACGACCATAATAACAGACTGGGGTTCCACTTTGAAATTGGGGCAGAAATGTTAGGTTGTTGTGCCTGGAGTTGCATGAGTCGTCCAGCTAAGCATTTTTCCTCGAACTCTACAAGAACAAAAATATGGGAAGCAAAAGTGAAAGCAACGCCATTTTCTATTTCTAACTAATCTAAGCTTTGCGAGGAGAGTATAGCCTAGGCCGCTAGCCAAACGTAATAAATTAGTAATGACGTACATGCCTTCGGCGCTATGTACGCCATTGTAAATATAATTTAAATTTTTAATTCATACAGGGACTAAGCCTAGAAAAAGTAACTCTGACAAGGTAATTTTTACGTTCGTCTTACACACACATGCAGTTAGTCACAAATAAGAATATTACCTATTATGTTAAGATTGCGGGAAATATCCAAAAGGTTCTTTTCCTAACCTATAGGTTTACTTCCTTGGGTTAGGACTAGAAACTGTTTAAAGGTTTAATTTACACAAAGAGGATATAGAAGCCATCGACCTAATCACCCCCAGACAACAGGAAGCCCCTTCCAGACCCCACAGCTAAATTCTAATGCAGACATCTTCAGTCCTGTCACAAGTCACATCCCAGACACGAGTGTCAGTAATAGAGGTGATCTAGTACAAAGGAAGCCACAGGAATTCAATGGGAAGGCACCTTGGGAAGCATATAGAGCACAATTTGAACTCCTGGCAGAGATGAATGGATGGACAGAGGAGCAGAAAGCAGTATATCTGGCAAAGAGCTTGAAGGGACAACCACAGGAAATACTTGGACAGTTGTCTGCAGACAACAGGCACAACTATAGGCACTGGTAGCTGCTCTAGAACTCAGGTATGGAACCCAAAATCAGTCTGAAGTCTACAGGGCTAGGTTTAGGACTATAGTTCGTGCTAATGGGGAAAGCCTGCAAGAGCTGGCACAGGACTTGGAACGTAAGACACACAAGGCCTACCCAACTGCACCACCCGATCTCCTCAAGTTGTTTCTGAGGGATCAGTTTGTGAATGCCTTGGACAGTCCACAACTGAAGATACAAGTGAAGCAAGC